ACGCGCTTTCCAGGCGTATGACCCCCAAATCGGTCACCCCCCCCCCCGATGTGGACTGAGACTCGCAGGAGGGCACCCGCAAATCGGGCGTCCAGGTCTTTAGCACTCTGGGCCCTAGTCTGAGATGCCCCAAAGGAGACCTCTGGATACCCACAGACCAGATGTGGGAAACCCCACCCCTTCTCAGATTCCCCAGACTTGAGACCCTAGGATCAGATTTATACCTCAAGCAGTGTCACCCCTGGCCAGGTGACTCAGAAAAAACAAGGAATGTAACCCCAGTCCTGCAACCCCATGCCTGCCCCAGACACCTCAAAATTAAAGGATACTCATTCCATCCCCACTCAACCCCCCAAAACGCCAATGTAAGACATGGATAGGATAAGGGAGATGGGCCTATGCGCAGTTACCCCCACCAGTACCTCCACAGTCACCCCCTAGTGTAGGGATTTATTGCCCTAGACTCAGGCACCCCAAAATTAGGTATCAGGGGCACCAAAGTTGCATAACTAAACTAGACTTTTCTCACATCGGGATCCTTTGATAGATAAAACCCCCAATCTACACACATGAGTTTCTAGCTGCTGTCACCCCACTGGGCATATGCCCCCCCCATTCTCAATATAAACTAGAAAATGGGACTGAAACCTAGTCACCCCTAAACTGAGCAATTCTAGCCTTGATCCACAGATTCAATCAATCCAAACTTGGAATTTGGGTCCTACCCAGGTCGAGAGTCCCTCAAACATCTGGTTCTCCAGACTCATTTTCCACTACAGCAAGAAGAAAGCCCCTTCCCCCCAAGTCACCACTGTGACATCAGTCATCTTAGTCTCTCCCATCACCCCTAATCTGTATCCAGTCATTGGTGATGCCGACTTAGGTACTTAAACAACCAACCATTTGAACAACCAGCTGGGGCTCCAATGCTCCCCAACTTGGCACCAGTAATCCAGCATTAGCTGTCCTTAAAATACACCTCTCCTGCACCCATTCATGATTTAGGACCTCTTCAGTAAGTTAACGCACAAATGAGGCATCTAGCTCGCCAACCTTGACACCTCTAGAGATAGGACTCTGTGACACTGGAGCTTAGTGACTCCCCCAAACTACATCTGTAGCCTCCAAACTTCAGTTACTTGTATACTAATCACGAGAACTCTACAAGCACGCAAATAAAGTCAGGAACCCCAAAACCAGGTATCTGGAGTGGTGCTGAAGATTCAGTTACCATAAACCCGACCCTGAGAACCCCATAATGATTCAAAATCAGAATTTAGACTTAAATACCCCAGTAGAAGTTTGATGGTGTCTCCCCACCACCAAAAAAAAAAAAAAAAAATCTGTGTCTGTGTCCTAACTCTGGAATCTGCTGATGTGACCTTGCTGGGAAAAAAGGTCTTTGTAGATGTACCAAAGGGAGGCTCTAGAGTCTAGAGACCAAGGGCCTCCTGCGTTTCTGGGGTGGGCCCCAACTGCAAAGGTGAATGTGCTTCTAAAAGCTAGAAGGGAGGACACAGGCAGAGATGAGGCCTAGGCAAAGGTGCTGTGGCCACCAGAAACTGGGAGGGGCAAGCAGCCTCTCTCTCCATGGGGTGGGGAGCAGCCCCGGAGGCAGCTTGATTTTGGAGGTCCTACTCCAGAACTGCAAGAGAAATAAGTTGGTACTGCTGTAAGCCACCCAATTTATTGCCAGCCCCAGGAAACCCCCTAAGCCTCGGTCTCTAGACTCAGCAGGTCCCCAACTAGGAACGTGGACCCCCACAATCAGGGCCCCAAACAAGCCTCTGTTCTCCACACCAGGCTTCCAGATCTCAGCCCAACTACTCCTCCAGTCACTCTCCAGTTTGTTTACTGGGTCCCCAGGCTTGGCCAGCCCCACTGCTGGTACATGGATTAATAGCCCCATCACCACTAAGACAAGCTTCCAGTCTCCAACCCCAAGCCCCCGCCCCACCCCAGGCAGCAGCCTCCACTCTCCTCATGGCCACAGCCTCAACAGACACCTGACCTCCATAATCTCAACAGGAGTCATCTGGGCCTGAGGTTAATGCATCCCTGAACTAGGTATAAGACCCCTACATTAAGCCACCCCTAATCCTCATATCCAAGATCCCCAAGGTATAAGCCACCAAGCTGACATTAGGAGTCCCAGTTGGTCATTCCATCTGGGCAGCCTAATTAGGCACCCCCACATTAGACATTTGAATGACTTGCCTCAGTTACCCCCAAGTTGTGAGTCTTCACAACTTCAGAACCCCACAATCAGGACAGCAGGGTAAATGCCCTCTGATCTGGTATGGAAGCCCCCAGCCTTAGCCCCCCCAAGTTCGAATACAAGACCACAGTCTCACTCACTCTAAATTAACCTGCAGGGTTCTCCAGTCAGTAAAACCACAGTTGGTCACTCTAAAAATACATCTTTACACCCTACAGCTTGATATCTGGTCTCGCAGTCTCACCTCACCCCAAGACCAGGATGTGGGACACCCCAGCTCGGTGAGCACCCAACTAGGCATGTTAGGCCCTTAAGCTTCAGGCAGCCCTAAAGTAATCAACAGGACCCCTAGTTAACAAAGTTCTACCAAACGTGGTCACCGGTCACTCAACTGGACAGTTGAGCCTCTTTATGTCCCCCAATAGCTAACCAAACCTTTGTGCCCTTGCTGAGACACCGAGCCTCCCGGTTTCTGTCACCCCCAACCAAACCTCCCAATCCTCAAGTTCACTCAGGAAGAGTCGACCATCCCTAGAGATGCTCCTGGTCTCAGCAGGTCAGTAACTTGATACCTGAGATAAGGACCTATACTCAGGCACCCCCAAATTAGGTTCTGGACGACCCAGCCTCCAGTGGCCACCCCCACTCCCGGGCTGCTGATCCCTTTGGGGCAGTGATCTCAGTCCTGGGGTCTAAGGGTCTCAGGCCTCAGTCACCTCTAAACAAGACAACCAGATCATAGGGCCAGCAGCAAACTGGGCATTAGGATTCATTCACTCTTGGAAAAAACTGGTATCTGGATCAGCAAACAAAATGCCTTTTGTCATCCAGAATCGGGATTGAGACCCAGACCTGGGAGTAGTCCCAGGAGCCTAACCCACACCCACTCCCCACCCTCAAGGCAGGGGCCTCCTGGTGAGCGGCTCCCTCCTTGGGGGAGGGCTGAGGAAGCACTTTTACACCCTCTGGTGGCAGCTGTTGGAAGTGCACCCTGGTGAGGGCCTAAGCCGGTGTGGAACCAGACCCCACTCCCTGGGTCTCCCAGTCTTGCTGGGTGCCTGCAGCCTGGGGTTCATCTCGACTGCTCCCTCCCACTCAGCTCCTAGGGAACCTCCACCTTCCCCCTCCTAAATCTGCCTTCCTTATCCCTCCTTCCTCCATTCTGGGCTCCTGCCTCCTGTCCCCCATTTGTCTCATCCTCCCTATACACGCTTTTCCCAGTTTATCCCCCACAGGACCCCAAAGGACATTTCTAACATCACACCTGATCTTTCCCTCCTCTGCCAAAGCCTTTCCACAGCTCCACATTATCTGAAGGTAAAATCCAAAGACCTCACCGAGGCTTGTGGGTCTGGAAAGATATGGCCCGACGGGACCCAGCTCCGTCTTCTCTGGCTGCTCCTCATTCCCTTCATCCCAACCACAGACATCTCCTTGGTTCTGAGCAGTTTCCACCTCAGGTCCTTTGCACTGACTGGGATACTCTTCCCCAACCTCCAGGGGGCAATCTAGTGCCCACAGGCCCCTCCCATTCCTTCACCAGTCTCAGCAGGCCCCTCCCTTCTTCAGTGTCTACCCCAGCTCCCACCCAAGCCACAAAGGGCCATCACTCTGGGAGTTTCCTCCTCTTGGGTGGTCTGGCTCAGGCGGTCTCCCACTGAATGTGGGCTCCTGGAGGGCACGGCCTCTCTTGTTTGAGAGGCACTGCTCTTTCCCCAGGAGAAATGGGGTACATGCCAAAGCCACACATTTTACATTTTTTATAAGAGGAGAAAATGATATTCCTTGGGGGCTCCCTGAAATGTAACCTCCTCAGAGAGCCTTTCTTGAACAGCTCCCTTGGAAGCTTTCCAGACCCTCGTCACCTCCCTTTATCCTGTCTGCCTACTGCTTCCCTCAGGTGTGTCTCTTTTGTCCATGTTCCTTCCTGACAGTCTTCATGTTGCAGTGAAAAGCAAACTGGCCCTTTCACCTCACTCAGAGGAAACCAGTTCTCTGCATATCTAGCTCTCCTGACCCCTCCCCTCCTCCAAACCCCAGGTAGCTGCTTCCTCTGCCCAGAACATTCTTCCAAGGATCCTGCAGTTGCCCTGACCCCTGACTGTCACCTCAGGGAGTCCTCTTTAATCTCCAACTCTTAGGCAGAACTTTATGAGAAGCTAATCGAGCAGGCTGAGAGGCAGGCTGGCGTAGTTTGCCCTTGGCTGGCCTCTGGAACTTACCATTCCCTGATAAGCGTGGCTTATGTGGCGGCCATACTGTGCAAACAGTATCGCTTATGCTCAGCACCTGCTGTCGTGGGCTTGGAATCTATGCTCAAGAGGGGCTCATGACCAGCCCCCGTGAGATCCTGGACACTGGGTCTCTACTGTGCTTCCCTGCCACGCTTCCCGGTGCTCACAATGCACAGGTGAGGAGCTGGCACTGTTCCAGGCGACGTCAGCGGCCTCTGCGGCGCCCACCCTGCCCCTGCACCCCATGCGCCTGTCCCCTCCACCAGTGTTTCAAGATAATCACGCCTGTGAGTGCAGCTCCGTCTTGAGTCCTCAGTGGCTCTGAAGCAGCAGGGCCCGTAATCTATATCAAAATCACCAGGCCCGAGGGTGGTTATGGGCCCTGATGCGCTCTCCCTCCTGACTCTTCTCTGTAGCACTTCATTGACCAGGCTTTCGTTATTTCTCCTGCTCACTGTCTTTCCCCCCACCTTGAGCCCCCCTTGTCTTGGTCTCTCAGTATCCCTAGCATCACCCCACACACACCCACAGAAGACCCTGGGAGAGTGTTTGCTGAATGACAACTGTAACAGCTTTATTTCCGAAGCTGGAATCCCTCCCAGGCCCGCGACGGGGAGGCCTTTGCTGGGAGCAGCAGAGCTGTGCAGGGCAGGGGGGACGCGTGGGGCAGCTGGCTTGCGGGGCAGGTGGCTCGGGAGGCCGGCCGGTCCTGCCAGGCCCCTCACACGGGCTCCATCTGCAGCTCCTCCCCGTCCACAGGCTCGATGTGGTGGAAGGCAGCATGGGTGCCGATGACCACGAGGGTGGCCCCTACGATCAGCAATTCAGGGCCATGCTCCCTCTCTGGGTGCCCACTGCCACCCCACTTCCCAGAGCCCGTACTCACCCAGCACCCAGAAGACGGCCGAGCCTGCACCAGCCAGCCAGAAGAAGGGGAAGGAGACGGCCCCAGCCAGAGCATACTGATGGGCTGGGGTCACCTCACGGCCTGGGGGTGGGGGGAGAGGGCATTGGGGCAGCTGTTCTCCACTCCCTGCCCTCTCCCAGAATAACCCCCGATGCCTCCTGACAAATCTGTGTCACAGCTCTGGGAGCCTCGGAATCCCAGAAGCTAATCCAAACTCCTCAGCCAATGCCCATCTGCTCCCACCTATTCTGGGGTGTCCCTGCTGTCCAGCCTTAGCACACCTGCAGCCCCTGCTCTCTGCCCCTCACCCCACATCTTCAAGGAACCTCCTAGCCTCCCACTCCCCTGGACTGGGGTTCTCGGACTGCAGCTGCCCTGACACATACCAGGGCCTGGTCTCAAATTGGCGGCCCCAGAGTAAAGTGGGGCCGGTGGATGTGTTCTGCAGTCTATACAATGTCTCACAAGAATCTGATTTGCCGCAAAGAAACGGAATGATCTCACATGATGATATGCTATGCGTTTCCAGCTTCTCACAGAACTCTGCCAGATTGAATCTGCAGGCTTCTGGGAGCAGGTGGCTGAAGCCAAACTGTGGCTGTGCTACTGGTGCTTCCTCTGTGCCCTCTGCTTCCCCAACAGGCCCTTCCTGTATGTAACTTGTGGGTCCCCACAAGACTAGTTTAAAGTCTCCCAACTCCTCTCCAAATCCTGAGCTTCCCCCAGGAAGGAACTTAGGCCCCTCTTGTCTTCCCCGTGGTGCAGTTTGGCAGCCAGGCCTCAGTCCCTCACTGATTAGTGCCAAGATCTTGACAGTCCCAGCCCGGGGAAACAGGAGCGGAGACAGATCTAGGCCAGCGTGAGGTTGCCACCTGGCGTTCAGTGTGGGTACCTGCAGCTGATGCTTTCTGCCCAGAGCTCAGGGAAGAGGGTGAGGAGTAGGCTTAAAGGACTGCAGCTAAGGGTTCTGGGATACCTCATTCTGGGACTGAAAAATAGCAGTTTGGTAGCTGAGCCTGGATGGGAGCATTTGGTGTCTGAAATCTTCACGGACTGGGTTTGGAAGATGTAGTGCTGATTCTAGAATGGGCTGGCTGGGTTTGCGTCTAAGGAGGGAATTTCTCACCAAAAAGCACGAACTTGGACTGCAGTGTGCGCAGATAAAGGATGTAACAGGCTCCAAAGAAGACAGCAAGAGCCACCAGCAGCATGGGGGACGTCACACTGGAGGGCAGGGAGATACGGTCAGGCAGCTGGAGGTGGGCCAGCCAGCGGGGCCCTGACCTTCCATGGCGGATGGCAGGTTACATCTTTGGGGTCAGGAGGGGCCAAGTCCTACATCTGGTCACACTGTGCCCTGGCCACGTCGATGGGAATGAGGTCGATGGTCCTTCTATTAAAAAGATGTGGCCCCTCCCTGCTGGTGCAGTGGGCTGGAGGGCAGCACTGCAAAGCTGGTGGCGGCCGCTGTAGTGCGAGTTCGATCCCCGGCCCTGGAAGTGACCCACATGGCGCGGCAGACCTCTCCTGTCTCCTGCTGCTCCCCTCAGCAGTGTACTTTGTCAATCTACCTTTTCTGCTCCCCACTCTGTCTCTGGTGAATCCTCTCACCGTCCCTGCACATCTGGCGTGTACCCCAGTTCTGTATGCATAAATAAATAAACTTTTAAAATAAGCTAAAAAGATGCGGTCCAAGTGGGCAGGGGGCGGGGCCTGGTCAGGGGCGGGACTAGACTCACTGGGCGGGGCCAACTGGAGAGGGCAGCGCCTTGGGGTTCCTGGGGCGGCTGCTAGGGGCGAAGGGCGGCTGCTGGGGGCGAAGGGCGGCGGGAGAGGCACTCACACACAGTATAGGATGAGGCCCAGGAACACGAACACATAGTTGCTCTGGTAGTATTCCACGTTGCGGACGAGGCGCTGGCACAGCTCGCCCAGATTGCGGGGCCGCGAGAAGCGCCGCTGGTCCACAAAGGTGCTCCAGGGCCGGATGGTGGCGCGGCGCCGCTCCAGCCACTCTCGACCCGCGCCAGAGGGAATCAGTTTCGGCAGCAGGGTCCTGGTGGGCGGGGCGGGGAGGGGCAGGTCAGCGGGAGGCCGGAGTGGAGTCTGGACCCCCAAGCAAGAAGGGAGCCCCAGGGGTCCGGACTCCAGAGTCCTGCGAGGTGGGGTGGGAGGAGGAGGGACCAAGACTCCTGGATCCCAGGGGAGGAGAGGGCCGAGGGCCCGACTCCACAGTCCTCGAAGGCGAGGCGAGGGGCCCGGGCTGGTTTCCTGGGACCCGAGGGGAGAGGCGGGGTGGGGCAGGACTCCCGGGTGTCTCTGCTCAGGGGGCTAAAGTCCGCTTGCTCACGTGGCGCTCAGCCCTTCCGCCTCGGCACCCTTCTGCTGGTCCTTCTCGGCCGCCATGTCTGCGTCGAGGCGGGTAGAACCGCTGTAACGAGCCCCGGGCCCGGCAGACCCCGCCGGCCCTGCCCCGAGCCAGGCCGCACCCAGCGGAGCAGACGTGGCGCGGCTCCGGAGCCGCTGGGGGCGGGAGTTCTGCCGCGGGGCATCGTGGGAGTTGTAGTCCTGGCGCTGTCAGGGAAGGTGGGCGCCATGATGGTGGTCTGGCTCGCAAAACTCCGCGCGCGCGGGAGATGTAGTCGCGCAAAAAGCCGGTGGGCGCCTCAGGGCGTTGTGGGAGTTGCAGTGAACGGTGGGACGTCAGAAGTCAGGGTGTTACGGGCGTTGGGACGGCAGAAGCGGGTTGGGCAAACGCCCTCTCTGCTGCGTTGTCGTTCTGACTCCAGAGGGCATAGAAAATCACCTGGAAGCACGCAAGGCAGGGTGGGGCTCCTTAATCTGCCTTTCTGACGAGTTCCTAGGTGGTGCGGATGCTGCTGGTGAGCCACATTTTGAATGGCGAGTCTGTAGAGGATTCGTGTGAATCTATTCCTTCCTCTCTCAGAAGACAGACGGCCATTGAGAGGCCATGGCCCATGGAAGAAGTATCTGAAGTAGGGAAGCCAGGCTTTCCCCACGACCCTTGGGTTCCCAGGGATGGATGGGATAGGCCTATGGACCACTTCCCACCCCCTTTTGTGATAAGGAGGGAGGTTGGGATAGGGGAAGATCTGAGGCTTTATTTTACTTTTTTGAACATTTATTTATGCATACAGAACTGGGGTACAGGCCAGAGGTGGGGGGATGGTGAGAGGATTCACCAGAGACAGAGCAGGGAGCAGAACAGGCAGATCTACTGAAATACACTGCTGAGGGGAGCAGCGGGGAGACAGGAGAGGTCTGCTGCACCATGTGAGTCACCTCCCTGGCTGGGGAGTGAACTTAAGCTGCAGTGACTGCGATAGTTTCATAGTGCTGCACTTTAACCTGTTGAGCCACCAGGGAGGGCCTGACCTGAAGCTTTTTAAAACAGGGAATTGTTACAATTAAAAGACTGGGGTTCTGGAGTCAGACAGGTGGAGACCCAGACTCCTTAGACCTCATCACCTCCCTGAACCAGAACCAGTGTCTTCACTGGACGTGGGAGTCCTGGGGTTACCACACCAGGCTTATGATTCAGCTACATGGTCACTGCTCCATAAATGATATATCACTCCCACTACCTTGTGAGTATTGTGGGTTGTTCATTTTTAGGGTTCAGCTTTCTTGAATGTAACAGTAATGCCTCAGGGCTGCAGGCACCTTGGGTGGCCCAGAATGCCTGGTGTCCTAGGCATGGGCCTTCCTTTTCCCTGTTCCCCACAGCCATGGTTGTCTCTCTCTTTAAACAGCTTCCTCAGAGGCCTGCCCCTGTCCCTGTAAGTTGTGAGAAAACAGAGTTCTGAAGAGGGGTGCCCCAGAAGGGCCTCAAGAAATGTGTAGAAAAAGAAGTGTGTATGAAAGTGGAGGAGCCAGGGGCCCCTTCCATGGATTCGGGTCCTTATTTTTCCATGCATGGGGCTGAAGGAGAATACAACATAGGAAATCTAAGTGGCCCTTTGCACCCCAACTCTGTCTTCCGGCACTCATGTTACTTTTGGGCTTAGGCTTTGAGGCCTCCAGGAGATATTTCCAGAAGGTGGTAGGAGATGACCTCTAACAGAAGGGCTGGTGCAGCCATAGAAAGGGAGTCTCCTGTGTTGTGGAGGGGCCCAAGCTCCTCCCATACTTTGAGGCATACTTTGGACACCAGACTGGCTAGGCAGTATTCATTTCCCCCTTCTCATCCCCTTCGCCAGCCTTTCAGTGGCATCCAGGATCCCCCACGTGGGTCCAGCCGGCTTCAGGAAATCAGAGGAGGCCTGTGAGCACACTGTTAGCCCAGAGCGCCAGTGGGGAGCAGCACTCAAGTTCACTGTGATGGAGGCAGCAGAGGCAACCAGTGAAAGTGCCCCCAAGAGGAAGGTGGATCTTGGCGTAGAGCAGAGTGTTGGACGCAAAGGTCCAGCCACCTCCTCTCTAGGAAATTTGGGGTTGACCTGTTAGGAGACGGGATTCCTTAGGGAAACACAGTCCTGGCGCTTTGCTCCATAGGCCCCGTGCTATGGAACACAGCAGAGGACATGAGGGGCGCAGGTGCAGGTGCCCAGCAGCATGGGGTGTAGGCAGTGGGGGGCGGGCCTTCTGAATGGGGTGTGGAGGGAGCTGGAATCAGGGATTTAGAGCAGTGGGGTCTTGACCAAGTATCAGAGGATCATGGGAGAGAGGCCTGAGAAATTATGAGTGGGCGGCTCCCTGAGACTGGGGAAAGGTGAGAGATGGGGTCCCAGAGAGGGGGTCAGAGTAGGCAGGCCCTGAATTATGGGATCTGTGGGAGATGAGGGGGCCCCTGGGAAGACTGTGGGAGTTGAGCCCCACCGCTGTGGCCCCTCCAGAGACCCCCTGCTTGCCTTTTGGGTCCCAGGAAGAAGTGGAGCCGGCAGGGTAGGAGGACCGCAGCCTAGAGAACCCGAAACCTGGGCCAGGCTGCTGCTGATCACCTCCAGGAAGCCCCTGCCCTCTCGGCAGGGCCTCAGTTTGCCCACCTCTCTGTGGGAATATTTCTTACTCTCTGCACCAGACGTGGCCGCCCTCAGGAAGGTCCGGGCTGTGTCCTGGGTGTCACCAGCAGGTGTGGCACATGTGGCCCTCCCTCTGCCTGTCCCCTTCAGACACTGGCACTCATCATCCAGCTGTTTTCTTTTCAGTCTCACTGAATCACGTGAGTTCTCAGCACCCAGTCACCCAGCACTGGCTGGAGGCAGGCAGGCTCCAGTCCAGTCCCGCCCCAGCCCCTCCTCTGACTTGTATCAGAAAGGCTGCCTTGAGGGAAGTGGAACAGAACCCAACCAGAATGGCTTTGTAGAAGGGCTCGCTATGTCGAGTGAAGCTAAACACAGTCCAACCCATAACTGGCGACCCCACTCCTGGAGTCTGGTATCCAACAGAGATACATGCATGTGCCTTCAGAAGGCATTACTAGGACAGATGTTCCTATTCCTAGCAACACCCACTATCATAGACCAATTATAATAGAAACCAACCCAGAGGTCCAACACCAGGAAACTGGGTGAACAGTGTGTTATAGCCATGCCATCTTCGGAATAGTATGCAGCCCTGAAAAAGAGAGGCTGCTGATACGTCCAAGTGGATGGCTCTCACAGACATGATGTTGAGGACAAGACGTCGGTTCTAAGATTTGTCACCTCTCTGCTATATGACTTCAAGCAAGTCAATTCCCCTCTCTGTGCTTAGTGAGAATTAAATGAGCTAATGCATACAGTGTTTACAAGAGGGTAGACCACAGTGATTTGCTGTCATCATCATCATCACCATGGGCCTCCCTGGGGTCCCACTGCAACATGGGAGAATGGTGAGTGCAAGTCCCTGCCCTCTGTTCTGACTCTAACTTCCATTGGTCTAAAACTCCATTTTCAGTGACGGGAGTTTCTGTGACTCCCCAGCTCACACCAGGCTACATTTCTGGGGTAGCATAAGTCACCCAGCACTGGGGGGGTGCTGTCCCGCCCACACCCCACTCCAGAAAGCAAGTAGGACACACACGTGGCTTCTCTCTCCCCACTGATATATTTGATAATTGTCCAGAACCAGAGATGGCATCAGCCAGGTGAGGGGGAATAAAAAAGAGCCCAGGGAGGAGGCTGGAAGGAAGGGATGAGGAGAGGGAGAGAAACAGACACAGAAAAGGGGAGAGAGGCGGGGCGGAGGTGGGGAGAGAAGCCAGCCAGAGGGGGAGAGCCGGAGAGAGGCAGGAGATAACTTGAGGGGTGGGGGCCAAGGTGAGGCCCACGGGGAGAGAGGGCCCCTTCCCCCGAATACAAAATGGGGGGGCCAGGAGAGGGTTGTCCTGGGCTTGGGGGGCAGGGAAGAGACGGGCAATGTGGTAGGGTTGAGGTCAGTAGTAGGTTTCTTTCTCCACCCAACCTGCAGAGACAAAGGAGGAAAGAAACAGAGACACAGAGAACCAGCAGAGGCAGCAGTAGAAAGGAGGAAAAGGGACAGAGACACAGGGAAAGACAGAAGAGGAGGCCGGGAGGAGAGAAAAGGGTCAGAAAAAGACAGCACAGATGGAGGGTGAGACAGAGGGGGAGGGAAAGGGGGGGAGACAGAGAGAGTGGGGAGGGGAGACAGAGGGGGTGGGGAGACAGAGGGGGGTGGGGGGACAGAGGGGGTGGGGAGACAGAGGGGGGAGGGGAGACACAGAATGGGGAGGGGAGACAGAGAGAGGTCAGTTGCAGGACAAGTCGCCCACTGCTGCTCCCCGCTCCCCCACCAGCTGCCCCTCCCTCCAATCATGCCCTCCTCCCCCCAGCCTGCCCCCTCACCCCCGGGGTTCCTGCGCAGGATGAGTTTGCGGATTTCGTCATAGACGAAGATGAGGAAACTGTACGGGAAGGCACAGAACCACCAGCTGGGCCTGCAGAGACAGGAGCAGGAGGGGACAGTCAGTAAGAGGGGACAGAAGTGCAGGAGGAGCCTTGACTGCACCCTCAGCCTGTGGATGAGGGGCACTCTGACTGAGGCTGTATTTTGGGGCCTGCAGAGTGCCCCACTGTGAGCATGCCCAGGGTGGGGGCGTACAGGAAGGAGAGTAAATGGCACCAGCTCAGGATTTGGGGGGGCAGAGAGACACCAGGAAAGGCGGGACCTGGGTCTGTGGCCGAGGCCCAGGGCTGCAGCGTGTTGGGGTTCTTGGGGTGGCCAGGGGCACTCACTTGAGAGGGTACATGCGGAGGGCCACGTCCATGCCTGGGCAGTAGGACAGGAAGGCAGCCAGGGCCGTCTCCTCAAACAGCCCGAAGATCAGGATCTTGTTCCTGGAGGCGCAGGTGGGGAGGGGCTGGGTGTGGAGAACCGGCGCAGCACCCCACCCCACCCGGCGCAGCACCCCACCCCACCCCACACACAGCAGAAGGCGTGTGAGAGACACACAGCGACAGAGGCGGAGAGGCAGACAGACCCAGGGAGATGTGACGCGGACAGACACGCAAGGCAGACACATGCGGAGCCCGAGGCAGGCGG